TGGAGGATATCCACTCACACTCATATATATATATATATATATATATATACATCTAAATACATATGTATAAGTTTATTTATATATGAATATATATATATATGCATGTATATTCTTTTTTCTGTCTTTGTTTCAGGACAGGCATTGCCCCTGACGGCACGCGAATGATGACAGATGAAGCCTCACAATGGTGAAGCCCCTCTTCTTTCGTCTTCTTCTTGCAGTTGTTGCTGCTGTTGCTGCTGTTCTTATTGTTGTTGCAGTTGTTTCTGGTGCTGCTGCTGCTGCTGTTGAGATTGGTGATTTGTTTATTTCGGTTGATGATATATATATAATCTGCGAAACAATCTATGATACCTATATAATATAATGTATATATTCTTTTACTTGTTTAAAAGAGGACAGGCTTTATTCCGTCTCCTTTCTTCTTTTTGTTTACTTCATCCCAACGCACATACAAACCAGCAGACAGACAAACATAAATATATGCATACAAATGAATGCATAGATAAGTATATACATGCATGCATACATATATATGTATATATATATTTATATTTATATATATTGTTATTAGGTATCAAGATTTCTATCAAGCAACAACCAAAGCTGACAGTGAAGAGGAATGTCTGCCTGAGGGTTCGCTGGTTGATTATTATTATTGGAGTACCCCGTTTCTTTCACACATAGGCAATATAAATTTAATAATGATGCATTCGCAGGTGAAGAGACAGTATAATTTAAAATATTAATTCTAAAGGGCTTTATTTAGTACTTTGTTCTGCATGCATTCATCTTCAGATTCTTTAGCTGTATGACTAAATACAAAAATAAACAAATAAATTTATTTATTTGCATATACAAATTAAAGCAAATATGAGTAAATAAATACAAACAAATAAATAAGATAAATAAATAAATAAATTAATTAATTAATTAATTAGTTAAAGTAAATGGATAAATAAATTGAATACATGAAGTAAAAAGTAAATCAATTTGTTTGTATTTCTTGTGCAGGTAAATCTGCGAGACGGTACTCACTTGCCTTGCGATCGTCTGCGTGAAGCTACGAAATCGATGAAGAATTTAAATAGGCTGGCAGAGAAGAGATTATCAGTTCAAGAAAGAGAGAGAGAAGAGTTTATTCAGCAAGCTGTTAATGCACATAATAGAGGACACCCTCTAAGAAAAGACGGGCTGTATACTAAATACTTCTGGAGGCCTTTGCATCAACATACAGTCAAAGAGATGGAAAAGCTAACAGCAGCAAAAGCAGAGGCAGCAGAAGCAGAAGCAGAACCAGAAGCAGCAGACGCAGACGCAGAAGCTGCTGTTGCAGCAGCAGAAATTGAAGCAGCAGGAGCTGATGCACCACCCGAAAGAATTCCGACGGTTATTAAAGAAGCACATCAACAAGCGTAGACACCCCAGCGTAATTCAATATATATATGTATGTATATATGCATATATATATGTATAATATGTAGGTATATATATATGTTTGTATATTTGTATGTATATGCATATATATATAATGAAACAGGGACACTCCTCTTTATCGTATATTGCTGATAAAACAAATAGACAGAAGATGCAGCATGCAAATTATATTCGTTTCTAGCAGGTACTGTACAAAGGCAAAAAGAATGTTGATAAATAAGCAGCAATAAAACAAACAAATTCAAACAACAAACAACAGACAGGCGGCAGATGCAGCAGCAGACGCCGTTCTGAGTAGAAGCCTCCCTGATTGGGGAAGGGGTGAAGAATTATTCTTCTTGTTTATTTCTTCTTTTCTGTGTTTGTTTGTTTTATTCGTACGAACTTTTTTGTGGTTTTTACAGCATATGCATGCTAATACAACTTTCTGTGAGGTTATTCTTGAAAGGGAGGGAATTCATTAGAAGAGAAAATAGAATTTAATTAGCCGACAGCAGTAGCTGCTTTCTTCCTATCTGTATGAAGTCGATATGGTGGGAAGCAGTGTTAATAATATTGCAGTTGCGGATAGTAGAAACGCTGTAGTTTTTTAAAAAAAGAAAGGAAACATAGGAAATATATAATTATTCATACTGCAGATTGATTAGAAAGGTTTTATTTTATTGCAAGATATTGCAAGATCGGCGGCTGAACTGAACTCAGGTGTATGTACACCTCAGTGGATTGCAAACACATCGTGAAACAGGTTTTCGTTTTCTCTAGAAGAGAGTATACAATATAAATAAATAAAACCGGTTTATTTAATTAATATTAATTAATTGCTTTTTATTCAAATATCCCTTTCTTTACCCTCCTCTACAAGGCCTATGGGGGCCCCTTCTCCTGCTGCGCTGTTCATGTTACTGAGGAAGTTGCGTAGGAATCGACCATTGATTCTTTTCTTTTTATTGATATATCAAAGAAAAAACAAAAATATGTTGATTTCATAACATATTTTATATATTATTCTTCTTTTTCTTACTTCTTTTCACCAGTCTGCTGGCAGCTATAAGATGTCGGGCTGCCGCCCCAATGACTCAGCTTCATCCGAGCTCAAGGGAACCTCAACTGCTTCTTCTTGTTCTCTTCTTCATTTTGGTTTAAGTTGTTCAGAGAGCTCTGCGTCAATAACAACAACAGGAGCAGCAGCAGCAACAACAGCAGCAGCAACGACAACAACAGGAGCAGCAACAGCAGCAGCAGAAGAAAATGTATCAAATGCTATTTTGCAACAGAAAAGAAAAGAAATTGTTTTGTTGCAGTGTACGGCGGAAGGCTGTATGAAGACGTTTCGTAAGAAAGCCTGTCTAGAGCGCCACCAACTCTCACATTCAGAAGAGGTAATTCTTTGTTTAAATAGTTTTAATGCTTTGTTTTTCTATGTTTATTTCATTGTTTTAATCCTTTCAATTCTTTTCTCTAATTCTTTATTCATTGTTTATATATTTTCATTGCCGCGTATGTATGCTACGCCACGTATATATGTTTACATGTGTAATATATATAGGTGAGATACAATATATATATTATATATATTATATATACTATATATTAAGTATATATATATATATATACATATATATACAAGCAACAATTATCAAATTATAATCAGAAGACATATTCAATGCGCTCAGAATGCATTATATATATGTATTTTATATAAGCATACTATATACATAAAATATGTAATAAGTATATATCTATATTATTAGTAGATATTATATGCACACAAACAGTATCAAGAACCCTTACAATCTCTCTCTGTCTATATATATACATGTTTATTTATTTATTTATTTAGAGAGAGAGATAGAGAGACAGGGTTTAGGGTTTAGGGTTTAGGGTTTTCTGCTGTCTGTACAGCGCAACTTTAAATGCAATTTCTGCTCCTCTGCATTTAAAAGAAAAGAGCATCTAGAAAGACATCAACTGCTGAGGCATAGGGAGAAGAAAGCTCAAAAAGATGAAAATACAGACAAAGAAGAATATCCATGCAAAGATAATGCATGCAGCGCCGACAGAACACATTCAGCAGCAGCAACAGCAGCTCCCGCTGCTGCTGCTGCTGCTGCTGCTGCAGCAGCAGCAGCAGCAGAAACATTCTCCTGCGATCGCTGCAGCAAAACCTTTTTACTCAGATATCACCTGAAAAGACACATGAAGACGCACATGCTTCTTTATAAATGCAGTGAGATGCTGAGCTGTACATACACCGCACTCGAATGCTACATGCAGCTTTACCTCTCTATTGCTGCTCTTGTTGTTCTTGTTGCTGTTATTGCTGCTCCTGCTGCTGCTGCTGCTGTTGCGCTCTGCCTAGTTGCCGCTGCAGCAACTGCTGCTGCATTTCATTGTTTATTAGCTGCTGCTGCTGCTGCTGCTGCTGTGTTGCTGTTTTGTTTTTATTTTTTAGAAATCTGCGCTGAGGGATTTGCTCGAAAGCGGCAGCTGCGACGTCATATGATATTACATCTCGTGGAGCAGAAGCAAACCCCGCAGCAGCAGCAACAGCAGCAGCAGCAGCAACAGCAGCAGCAGCAGCAGCTGCAGGTTGGGGTGCAGATGAATTTAGAAGAGGGTGCTGCAGAAGCAGCAGCAGCAGCAGAAACAAATTGTGAAAGAGATAGAAAAGAAGATAAAACAAAAGAAGAAAAAGAAGGAGATAAAGATGCATTAAACAATAATAATAATAATAATGTAAATAAAATATTAAACGAAATAATATGTCCTCATGAAGGATGCAACAAAAAATTTAAATGCATCGATCAGCTGTACAAACACCTGAAGAGAACATCGCAGAGTAAGTTTAAATAAATTATATTATTTATTTTTATTTAAGTTTAGCTAAATTATTTTTGTTTTATTTCTTCGTTTTGTATTTTGTTTACAGCAATTTTATTGTTTTTCTTCTGTCAGAGTATATTACTTTTTATTTCTGTTTGTTTAAAGATATTAATCAGCCTTCATTTACAATAAACAAATAAATAAATACACAAGTTTATTAATTAATTAGCTGTTTAATTAACTAATTAATTAAATTAATTAATCTGCGGTTTAATTGCTCAATTACTGTATGAACGAATAACTTAATAATAGAAAAAATGAAGAAGAAAACAAACAATATTAAATTTCTTTTGTTTATTTATGATGATGATTATTACTATTATTTTTATTGTTATTATTACTATTTTTCTTATTATTATCATTATTATTAATTATTATTTATTATTGTTATTATCCTTATTATTGTTGTTACTATCACTATCACTATCATTATCATTATCATTATTATTTATTATTATTTATTTATTTATTAATTATTATTATTTATTTATTTATTATTATTTATTTAGGAAGAGCAGACTATGCATGCGATATCTGCGAGATTAATTTTACGGTTTTCTCTGCGCTCGTTGCGCATCGCCGTTCTGCGCATTCGACGAAATCTGCAGTTTGCAGTTATTGCGCAAAAGTAATTCAAATAACTCTTTTAAACTTTTATTTTATTTTATTTTATTTTATTTTATTTAAGTTTTAATTAATTGGTTTTATGTATTGGTCATTTGTTTTATTCAGTAGTATTCGTTGTGTAGGATTTGCTGCTTTTGTTTTTTTTTATTTTTTTTTTTTATCTTCGTTTTTGTTTGTGCTGTTTTTTCTATTGTTTAGTATCTTGTTTATTATTATTTGTTATTTATTATTGTTTATTGTTATTGTTATTTATTACTACTCATTTCTATTATTATTATTACAATTTATTGTTATTATTATGAATTATTATTTATTATTATTTATTATTATTATTATTTGTTATCCTTCTTATTATCGTCAGAGTGGTTGTTCTTGTTTATATATTTCGTACTTATATTATTGTAGATATATATATACGCATGCAATTATATATATTATATGTATATTTATGCATATCCCCTTAAATATTATTTTTTTCTTTGTTTAGAGTAAAAGGTGTTGTATATATTTAAAAACAATGCACATTAGAAAATAAAGAATTTGCTTTTTATTTTGTTTTATTTTATTTTATTTTCTCGTTTTGTTTGTTCAGGCATACAGCAGACCTGATCGTCTCAAGGCACATATAAAAGTAATTCATTTAAAATTATATTTCTTTTGTTTTCTCTTCTCGTTGTTGGTGTCGGCGTCTTTGCGTTATTCTTCTTCTTTATTTGTTTATTTGTTTTTTGTTTCTTGTTTTTTGCTGTTGCTGTTTTGTTGTTGTTTTGTTTGTTTTGTTTTGTTTTGTTTATTATTTCATTTTGTTTATTTATTTACTTAGATATTTATTTCTTAGTCTGTTTCTGTCTTATTACTTCTTTTTTGTTTTATTATTTGTTTATTATTTTGGCTATACCCCTCCCGTTCTACACATATTAATGCGTTGCTGTGTATTATTAACTAATTAATAAATATATTTATTTATTTATTTATTTAATTTATTTATTTATTTATTTATTTGCAGAAGAAACACTCAAACGAAGAAGGAGAGGAGGCAGACGACGCAGATATCGACGGCGTGTATAAATTTGCATGCAATCAGTGCAGTCTTCGTTTCTCTTCAGTAAATTTATTTAATTACTAATTAATTAATTATTAATTAATTAATTTCATTAAATAATTGAATAATTATTTAATTAAATTAATTAACTTGTCTGTTTGTTTGTTTTGTTTATCTGTTGTTGTTTTTTTAGTGAAATCACCAACGAAGTAATTTAAACGTAAATTTTATTTCTTTTAAATTTATTTTTCTCTTTGCTTCTGCGTCTTTATCGCTGTACCCATATCAATATATATACTCATATATATATATATAGATGAATATATATATATGTATATATATATATATATTTAGATATATATGCTTATATTTATATGCGATGATTTGTTTGATTGGTTTGCATTACGTGCGT